CAAGTAGGTCTCTAAAAAACCAGGACCAGGACAACAAGATTGATGGGCTAATTTGCTGGGGACAGAAGTAGGACGGGGTAGGTGTGATGCAGGTATGACGGTGACAGGAATAGTGAGGAGTCCAGAGCAGATGGCTGCTATGAAACTTGGAAGGAACATAGAAACCAGACTGCGGAAGGTCTTAAATGCCAAAGGAGAGCTGTGTGTTATCTTATGAGAAATGTGAAGGTTTCTGAGATCAATATGCAACATTTTAGGAATCTTTAAAAAAAAAAATAACAGTCATATAGGAAGAGACAACAAGAGAGATAGACGAGTCAGTTCCATTTTAGCAATAGCCTGGGTAGCTAGGATGGAAGCAGCCTGTTGCAAGGATACCGTGAATGAAAAATAAAGGTCATTGTGCTAAAAGGGGCCGGTAAACTACAAGTAATTCCCAGGTTTCATTCCCTATGATAATCACTGTCCCACTGACAATAAATCCAAAAGGAAAGCAGGTTTATGTTTGAAGGAGCAGTGCCAGCAGGCAAATGAAGTGGAAGGCTCAATCTCCAACTCATCGGCCAACACCAACTATACAGAAAATCATACATTCTCTCCTATTTTGTTCTCTTGCTCAATACAGGGGGGAAATAATTAGTATTCTAAACTGGTCATTGATCATACTGTACCCACAATGATTTATCAATATTCACCCTAAATAAATTTTCCTTGAGAATATTCAAAAACAGATCTAGCTAACGCCTCAGACTCATCAGCCTCTTTCTTACTCGTCTTGCTGCATGATTCATAAAAACAATTACCTCCACCCTTCAGCCCATCAGCCAAGCTTAAGTCCTTTGACCTCTGTCTCATTACAGACTCATTATAGTCCTCACTTTCAGCACGCTGGGAAAATTTTAGAACATAAATCCTTTTCCTTTCCCACTGACCCGAGTCTCCAACAAGCCTTGTAAGCTTGTTACTTTTGAAGTTTACAGTATCTGTATGTTTGTTCCATTCAAAGAATGAACATCAAATTATTTCCTGATATACATTTAGTACAATCAGACGATGGAAGTGTCTAGTTTAAAATGCAGCAGGAAGATGTCCAGACTATGTAGGACAACATATCTGTTCACAGAATATCAAATGAGCTGGTCTATCAGGGGAGGTGGCACAGTGAAGGGTAAAAGTGCAAGGCCCAACTCAGACTGCCTAAGTTTGAAACTCCCACTACTTCAACTCTGGCAAGCTAACCTCTCTGAACCTCAAATTTTCCATCTGTAAAATGGAGATAATCTTGCAGGATTCCACATTAGGAGAAATTCTTACTGTACCTTAGCATCCTTACTACAGTTGATTTCTTATTTACTGACGGAACCTTATATTGCTCTAGGTCAGTGGTTCTCAACCTTCTGACCCTTTAAATACAGTTCCTTATGTTGTGACCCAACCATAAAATTATTTTCGTTGCTACTTCATAACTGTCATGTTGCTACTGTTATGAATCGTAATGTAAATATCTGATATGCAGGATGGTCTTAGGCGACCCCTATGAAAGTGTCGTTCGATCGCCAAAGGGGTCGCGACCCACAGGTTGAGAACAGCTGATCTAGGACAGAGGGAGGAATAGGCCAACCTTTTCTGCAAAGGGTGAGGCAGTGATATTTTCCACCGTGCTGGCTAGATGGTCTCTGTTGCAACTACTCAACTCTGCTATTGTGGCACAAAGCAACCAGACAGCATGCAAACAAATGAGCATGGTAGATGTGTTCCAATACTTTATTTATAAAAACTGAAATTTAATCTCATATATTTCATATACTAAAGTACAGCTTCCTGTGACACCCATCATAAACTGAAATGGCATAAAGCGAAGAGTATACCCACTTCCCAAAAACTCACATTATGCCACTTTGTTTTTACCAAAGACCTGCTTTAATATGGTAACAGTTTTTGTAAAAGCAAAAATCTTTGGTTTTCACTCAGCTAGTGAAAACAGGTACGAATGTAGGTCTCCTATAAAAGCCAAGAGGCATAATGTGGACTTTCAGAATGTAAAGGATGCCGTTTCTCAGCCATTTAAAAATGTAAAAGCCATACTTAGTTTGCAGGCCATAGAAAAACAGTCGGGGAACCAGATTTGGCCTATGGGAGGGAGTCTGCCAGCCCCTGCTCCAGATTAACCAGTTTATGGGCTTTGGAAGCTTTCTCGGGGCAGGGAAATTGAAATACAGGTTCATGATGCAGAAGAGGAAACTTCTAAGTATAATTTTTAAAAAGGACATTTAAAGCTATCATTCACTTTTTAACACTAAACCTGACTATGGGCAAGGCACTTTTGGAATCACACACCGTAGGAATCAAAGATGGAGAAGTCCTAGTCCCTGCTCTCAAGGAATGCACGCTTCTTCACTGCCTAGATACTGAAAGTCTTCCTTCAAAACACAATCTCTCCAATCTTGCAGTGCATACAGGCATATTCATATAAGGGGCAGGTAGCTGCGCTGGTGACCCCACCTACAGCCTACGCCAAACCTAGTTATCCTGACCACCCAGCTTCCTCCTGTCTTCGATTTTACTACCAGTTCTTTTCCTCTCCCCAAAATTACTCTGTTTTTGCATGATCATTGCGCGGATGTCATGATGTACTAAAGAGAACAAGAAAACTGGCCCCATCTTTAAAAAATGACCATAAAGTAGCCTTCAGTGATACCATGTCCCTTTTAATAGATAATATGTTAGTAACGCCTATGGTTTTTCACTTCAATCCAGGTAGAAATTTGTCCCTAAGGAACAGGTTAAACAGATGTATTTTGGGGCAAAAAAAAAAAAAAGACCTCAGAAAAGATTTTTTCACAGCAAATGTTTTCAAGTATTTTATCCAAAAGAACACAAAACAAACCATGGACAAAATATAGTGCTCTGGTATATACCTCAGTTGGTTCTAAAGATTGTGCATCTGAAATAATACAACAGAAACCTAGTATCTCAATGTAGCCGAACAAGTGAAAAGTAGAGAGCAAAAAATTAACATAACTGATTGTTAAAGAAAAAACAAAAGGTTTTTTGTAAATAAATAATGAATATTAACATCATTATAGTATATAGTATATATTACAATACTAAAGAAAATAAAACCTGACAATAAATTATTTTCTGAAATACTAGATGGCATTCATCTCTTAAGCATTTCCCTTGCAAAAATCAAAAAGTAGAAAGTAGTATTCCCTTTGTTTAGTTTCATCTCATCAGAACAGGCATGATTAACAGTTTCAGCAAAATTCAATGAAAAGTCCACTTGGCCCAACCTGCGTGGCTCAGTGGTTGAGTGTTGACCTATGAACCAGGAGGTCACAGTTCAATTCCCGGCCCGGGTTGTAGGCTCAATCCTGTGTGGGGCATGCAGGAGGCGGCCAATCGATGATTCTCTTTCATCATTGATATTTCTCTCTCTCTGTCCTTCCTCTCTGAAATCAATAAAAATATATTAAAAACAGAAGTCCACTTGACACCAGTTATATCAAATTGGAGGGAAAAGCAGAGACTCAACAAAGCAATTAAAAATGAGTTCAGAGGAACGTGAGGTCAGCAAGATGAAGGGCTAGGCAGTTCCAATGCTCATCTTCCCACAAAAAAATAAACTACAAACCAACAAGGGCAAGGGATGGGGAAAATGGGATGACACAGGACAAAGGGTACAGACTTTCAGTTATAAAAAGAATAAATTCTGAGGATCAAATGTACAAGGTAACAATGGTTAAACAATATTATATCCTTGAAAGTTGCCGAGACCTTAGGAATTCTTACCACCAAAAAAAAAAAAAAAATGAGGTGATACATGTGTTAACTATTTTGATCTTGGTAATCCTTTTACAATGGGTATCAAATGATCACATTTACACTTCAAATATATACAATTATATTTGTCCATTATTTCTGCATAAAGTCTAGAAAAATGAATTAGGACTATAAAGCATCACCAGATAAAATATTTGATTGAGCCAAAGGATATTGAGAGCTTATAATGTTGAGGTCTTAACAATAAATATAAAATGAGCTTCTTGGTACTTGGGTACTTAGCAAAAAGAAAAATCAGCAAAGAAATTGGCAGCTTGACTTAAAAAGAAAAAAGGAGGGCAAGGTAATATTTCTTTGTCATTCTCAGATTTCCCACTTGCAGCTTCAGCTATTGGTGAACAACTCTGGAAGCTGGTGAAAGGTAATTCCAGTTTTGCCATGGCCATGAATTTGAATTCTATGGTAATGTGGTTAATGTGGCAAAATCACCCAAGGAGTATGTCAAATGGATCTCCTAGCATCCACATTTCAATAGTGATTTGCTATTCTCTGCCATGGCACAGTAGCTCAGCAAATATTTGAAGGAAATTCTTTAAAACTTTCAGTAATATCATTGGTATATTATATGGTGATATCTGTTATTCAAAAATCTCAGCATATATTCACTTCACCGCCAGAGTTTACTGTAAAAACCTAAAACTTCTAGATGTTTCACTATACTCCACATCAGTTTGTCTAAGGGCATCATATACCCCTGTGCCTTCTATTGTCCACCTGTTATTCTCTATTATGCTGATTCTACAACTACTGCCCAAGGGCAGAAATTCATTCTTTTAAGTAAGAACCCTAGAGCATTCTGTATATTTTCATACCAAGAAAAATACCTACTTTTATCCTATCCATCAGGGTTGAAAAACCTCTATAAAATTCATTTGATTATAACACATAAATCATTAAAATAAAGTAGCATCACAATTATTAAAAAATTAAAAACCAATGTCAATGAAAATGCTCCATGGAAAGAAATGTCAATGAAATTGTTCATGAAAGCTAATAATGCAAGTCTGAAAATACGTATTTTTAGCTTCTAAATAAAAAGTTTTCCTTTCTCAACTCTGAACACATTTTTGTTTTTACAACTAGTTAAAAATTAACTATTCAACATTTAGTGGTCACTATGTAAAATTAGTTTTTAATAATAAAACCATAAAACATGGTAGAAAGCATTACTTGACTTTATTAACCTCATTCACAATGTTGAATACAAATGAAAAATTATGACCCTTAGTTTTAAGTCTACTTCAAAGCACTGTCTCTTAGATTTAAGAATTAGGGCAGTTATATGTCATGAGGAGGGGAATCAAAAAGCCAAGTCCCCAAATCCCACTGATTTATCTGTGTATTATAAAGTCTGAGGGATAGCCCTGATATTCCTTTAAATGGTATTTTCTTCTGACTTGCCATTGTCATCAGTGCTGAATTTTTAACCAGACCCTATAATCTATCACAAGTCTTACAATTATAAATTGAAAACAAACACAGACAAGTATGTGTACCAAGTACTTTATGAAATTCACCACAAACAGTTGAACTTCACATATAAACTTCAAAAATCAACAGGACTATATTCTTAGAAACCAAAAGCTATATAAGGTCCACCTTACAATCTTTTCTGCAATTAAGAAATAATTTGATCTAATGATGTTAATGTAGAAATACATTATATATTTTAACTCAGTAAGAGATGACAATCAAAGGGAAACTCAATAAACCTTTGCATTTAAAACCAAAAGAAACACATCTTAGACACCTTAAACTATAAAATTTAGTTCTAAAGGAACTGTTACTGTGTAACAATTACTGCTCATATAAAAGTGCTGGTGACAATTCAATATGCCCTCCACAGAATCTGTTCACGTATATGTATCTATAACTGTAAATAAGATTTATATTTAAGGTGCTTAAATTTTGCACTGCAAGACTAGTTCAATAAGTATTCATCTGCTACCCCTTTGTAGCAACTCCAGTTATAGTGAATGATCCATGGGCAAAAGGCAAAAATGCTGTTATTTTCTAGAATGTGGCATTTGTGGAGGTGGAGCGCCCTCTATTGGTAATGAGGAAGACACACTCATTAACTGTCCTGCATGCATTTTTTCATTAATTCGGAGTTCACATCCATCCTGAAGCATTCGAACTGCTATTCGGGCAATATTCTTGGAGTCATCAAGGCCACTGTGTGGCCGCCCATCATAATCCATTCCTAGTTTTTCAAGCATTATTGTCAGTTTGGTTTGGCCTCTAGGAACCTGAAAAATAAACAAACAATAAATAATTCTTTATTATTCTAACAGTGACTATGAAGTAAAAAAATAAGAAAGAAAATTACTAGTGATGGCTAATAAAGTTAAGCAAAGGGCAAATACTCCTGGTTAAAGTAAATTAATAATACAAACCTCCATGGCTCTAGTATTTTGGATGAAAATATGTATCGACAGGTGAAATCCTCAAGACATCTAAAAAGTTTACAGTTTTATAATTTAACAAATCATTTATAAAAGGAAATGTGTTGTTCTTCTAAACTGAAGCTCTACCATTTTAATCCAAACTAATTCTTTTTCATATGGTATTTTTCTGTAATGTATTATTTTACTTGAATGACTCCTTAGACAGAGATACCAAACATATCTGGCTGTTTGTTGGAACATCGTGTGGTGCACCAAAGGGTCTCAGGTTCGATTCCCAGTCAGGGCACATACCCAGGCTATGGGTTAAATCCTGGGTCAGGGCATATATGGGAGACAACTGATCAATGTTTCACTCTCACATTAAATGTTTGTTTCTCTCTCTCCCTCTCCCTTCTTCTCTCTCTTAAGTCAATAGAAAACATATCCTTGGTGAGAATTTTTTTAAAAAGAATGAAAGACAATGCCACGTATTTTTCAGCCTATTTAAATACCCGCTCCACTTAGATCAGTGGTCGGCAAACTGCAGCTCACGAGCCACATGCGGCTCTTTGGCCCC